TACAGAGTGGCGTTTGGAAGATATTGGCCTGGCAGCTCTCCAAGCCTGATACAGGCCTGTAGTTGTGAAATCTCTTGGAAAACTGTTGGCCGGGACTTTGCAGGAGAGGAATTCCCTTTAACCTAAATAAAAGGGGTTTTATCGGGACGAGGAGTCGGCTTTGTGCTTTTGGGAAGCCTGGGTCAGAACAAGGACTGCCTGTATATGGATACTCACTGCGTTCTCCTCCTGGCCGTAAGGAATCTGCAGGCTCTCCATAGCTTTGATGATGGCCTGGACAGAGGTGAAGATGTTTTGATAGACCACTTTGGCAAATTCCTTCCGTTCGTCTTCCGTGAATCCCACTCCATGGATAATCCTCATCTGTTTGATGAAGGTACTTTTTCCACCTTCCCCGGTGCCTGATGGATAATGCACACACAAAAAAAACCACATTGATTTTCCAGTAGAACATCTGCGCTCCAAGTCTAGTCCAACTTAACAGGAATAACAGAGTTGGACGGGACCTTGGAGGTCTTCTAGTCCAACCCTCTTTGTACGGAGGCCTAGATGCTGCGGCATCATCCTGAGCAACTTCCTTATCATCTGCCACTAAAATGAACCACAGTCTCAAAAGAATTGGACCAGACAGCGGGCAACACCATCAAAAGCACCTCAGAAGCGGGACGAATGCCAACGCAATCCTAGGCTGCCTCAACAGAGGGATAGAATCAAGATCACGTGAAGTGTTAATACCGCTTTATCATGCCTTAGTAAGGCCACACTTGGAATCCTGCATCCGGTTTTGATCACCACGATGTAAAAAAGATGTTGAGACTCTAGAAAGAGTGCAGAGAAGAAGATGATTAGAGGATTGGAGACTGAAACGTATCAAGAATGGTTGCTGGAATTGGGTATGTCTGGTTTAATGTCTGGTTTAATGAAAAGAAGGACCAGGGGAGACATGATAGAAGTCTTCCAACATCTCAGGGGTTGCCACAAAGAAGAGGGAGTCAAGCTACTCTCCAGAGCACCAGAGGGCAGAGCAAGAAGCAATGGATGGAAACTAATCCAGGAGAGAAGGAACCTGGAATTAAGGTGAAACTTCCTAACAGTGAGAACAGTTAACTAGTGGAACGGCTTACTCTAGAGCAGTGTTTCTCAACCTTGGCAACTTGAAGAGGTCTGGACTTCAACTCCCAGAATTCCCCAGCAGGTGAATGCTGGCTGGGGAATTCTGGGAGTTGAAGTCCGGACATCTTCAAGTTACCAAGGTTAAGAAACACTGCTCTAGAGGTTGCAGATGCTCCAACACTGGAGGTTTTTAAGAAGATGTTGGAGAGCCGTTTGTCTGAAATGGGGTAGGGTTTCCTGCCTGAGCAGGGGGCTGGACTAGAAGCCCTCCAAGATCCCTTCCTATTCTGCTATTCAGAACAACAAAGATGATTAGGGAACTGAACCCATACGATCAGCAGTTGCAGGAACTGGGTATATCTAGTCTAATGAAGAGAAGGACTACGGGTGACATGATCGAAGTATTCCAATAGTTGAGGGGCTGCCACAAAGAAGAGGGAGTCAAGCTACTCTCCCAAGGCACCAAAGGCAGAACAAGAAACATAGGATGGAAACTAATCAAGGAGAGAAGAACCTAGAACTAAGGAGGAATTTCCTGACAGTTAGAACAATTAATCAGTAGAATGACTTTCTTCCAGAAGTTGTGGGTACTCCAACACTAGAGGCTTTTAAGAAGAGATTGGACAGCCATATGTCCAGAGTGTTATAAAGACTCTTGCTCGAGCAGGGGGTTGGACTAGAAGGCCTCCAAGGTCCCTCCCAATTCTGCTATTCAGTTTGACAATTTTGCAAGGGCTTCCTTCGATGGTACCAGGTGCTCAAAGGCACTAAATCACCGGTGCCAGCAATGACTGATTGACTTAATTTATTTAAAACATTTATGGAGCTGCCTATCTTACAACCAACCCCTCTTATAACCGTTAGCCTGGAGGTGATAAGAAAGAACTTAGGAGTGCAGAGATCAGCACAAGAGACCAAATTCAGTCTTTGGGGAAGGAAGAAGTTAGTGATTCAGTGGCAAAGTTCCAGGTTTACAAGGAGCAATTTGCTGGCTTGGAACCCGGTCGCTTCAGTTGAAAAGGAGAGAATAAAAGAACAGGGAAGTGTTTCTCTAGAACAGTGTTTCTCAACCTTGGTAACTTGAAGATGTCCGGACTTCAACTCCCAGAATTGCTCAGCCACGTTGGTGGAGTCGAATTCCCAGAATTCCCCAGCCAGCCTCTGGACCATGTTTCTCAACCTTGGTAACTTGAAGATGTCCGGACTTCAACTCCCAGAATTCCCCAGCCAGCCTCTGGACCATGTTTCTCAACCTTGGTAACTTGAAGATGTCCGGACTTCAACTCCCAGAATTCCCCAGCCAGCCTC